AAAGCGCTCTCAACAGAGTAGCATGACCTGATGCTGCTGCCTGTTTTCCTCTGTCTGCGGTAACTGTATGCTCCCTCAACATGGGGGCACTACTGGCACACATCATACTCAAAAAGCCACACATAGGCACACTCAGCTCAGAGAGAACTTTTCAACTCAAAAGCTGTGTAAAGAACCCAAGCAAAACAAGGGACACTGCTAAAGTTAATCCATAAAAGGTTCAATTTCAATGTGGGTAAGCTCATGGAAAGAAACAAAAACACTGCCAATTCTGTTGTTTGGATTTGGAGGACGCGGTGCACACGAATGCCCACTCACATGAGCTTAAACTGTAGTTCATACACACACACACACACACGCCAGAGTACCCAAAGTGAACTCTGTACGCTGACTCGCTACAAGCTTGGGAAGGAGTCCAGGTTTTCAGACTGACAAGGAACAGATTCTGGTGGTCTGGATCTTTTTGAGCTCTTCAACTCACAGCGCTCTCCTTCGGTACTGGATTAGTAAATTATTTGGAGAACACACACACTCACACTCACACACACACACACACACAAGCTGGCAAGTACCTACATTCAGGATTCAGTTTGTAAAACAATATAATAATCACAAGTTAAATGTTGTATTTAAAAAGTTATGATGACATTTTGTGAAGATTCTCAGTCATCCAGGTCATAGTTATCCAAGGAAGGTTAAATCAAGGGCAGCTGGACTTGGTTGAAGATGTTTTGCCTCTCATCCAAGAGAACTGACTGGCAGGGAATCCCAGCTATTTAACCTCTGCGGGACCAGCTGAGGCTGTTAGGATTGTCACTAGTTTTGCAGGTATTTGGTCATAAACCAATGTGGCTAGCATGGCTAAAACATATATTTGTTTTAGTAGAGGGCTCTACTATAATTTGAAAAAAAGTAGGTTATAGTGAGGAAACTTGAATCACTTGTACTATTTCTTACAATGGAGAAGCAGTTATATTTGTAATATAGGCTCTAGTGACTTTCAAGGTTAATTTTGTTTGGTTTGTGTTGGATGTGTGAGGTGCCACTTGTTGATTTGTCAGTATTATGCGGGTGTGGAGGTTTTCAGATGAAGAGAGAAGCAAATTTGTGGAACTTTCTGGAACTTGGTGATTTTCACTGGAACTTGTTGCCTCCAGGAATATTTCAGGGTTTCCTGGATCCTGGAACAATTAATTAGTCAAAAAGTCAGCTGTCACACTTGTTTACGTGATTGTCACTTTTTTTCTCTTTTCCTTTTCCCCAGGCTTTTTGTGTTATGTAACTCTCTTCAAGAGAGGTATAGCGATGTGTGTATGTTTGTGTGTGTGTGTTCAACATTGCCATTGCTGTCAAATTTTCATATTGTCTGAAGCTTCCTGATGTAATCTGCCAAATCAGTGTGTGAAAAAAGGGCCTGGAAACAATGGCTGGAGGTCAGACAGGTCATGGAAAACTGTTTGAAGAACAATGTTATCTGGACACCAGGTAATAAAATCCCAGTGGTGTGGAAAGGTACAAGCCCTTTGAATAAAGAGCAGTTTCCGCCCTCCCAGACTCACCTGGGCAATCTATTAGCCAAATGGACCTGCTTGTCAGTCATTTCTGCATGAACAAATTTACCTTCTCTGTCGTCAGCCCAGATAATTCATATTGCGAAAAGCTGTGTCTGTATTGACAAAATGACAGGCTTTATTTCTACTGTGTGGCAGATGAATGTCAAGGGGGATCAAGAGCTACAAATAGCAGTGACGACAGATTGTCTTAGCCCTTTTAACACTGAAAATCTACACTCGTGGCTTTATGGATGGTGATGTTGGTCTACCGGTTGATCGGTCGCTTTGATCCAGACTAAAATATCTCAAAAACTACTGGATGGATTTCCATGAAATTTGGTGCAGACATTCATGGTCCCCAGAGGGGGAATCCTATTCACTTTGGTGATCTATCCCCTGACATTGTCAGGTCAACATTTAAGATTTGATTAATACTTTGGTTTATTAATAGGTGTAAATCTAATGACATTCCCATCTTCCTGGGCTGTACTTCGTGTTTATTAATAATTAGCACATGATGTTAGCATGAGGCCTCATAGAGCCCCTAGTATGGTTGTGCAACTCTTATCTCTTTTTTTGAGTGTGTGCATGCATGTGTGCGTGTAAATAAACAAAATCCAGTTCAATTCTAACACTTCTTGTGAATACTTTCAGGTGAGATTTATTTATTAGATTTCTTAGTTTGTGCTTTAAAAATAAATTAGTTTAGTCTGTGTAAAATATAGTGCAATACTGCATAAAAGGCACATTAATTAATTAGGCATATTAATGTTTCTTCCATAACAACAGAACAGTGGCATGAGATGTGACATGTGCTGCTTGAATCATCTGTCTGTCTGGAAGTCTTACACTGGGCATGCAAATATGAGTGGGTGGAAAACAGAAGAAAAGAGAACATCAATATTATTCCACAGCTGCAGAGTGCACAGTACCTTGGACGGGAAAGGATCCTTCTCATGAGTCTGTCATCCCACAGAGATGCATAAGATGTTTGAGGCATGCCATCAAGAGTACAGGGAATCCAAATCTTGTATAGATTCATGAAAGACTGTAGTTTGCATACACAGCATTGGTATTTCACATACAATAACATAAATAAACATTCCAAGGATCATTACTTGCAATTGCTGTAGCCATTTCTAACTTGGAAATACAACATCCCAAACCGCTGTTTTTCAGTGCCTGCCTCAAGAGGACACCAAGACCTGCAGCACTAGAACACCTGCAAAAGCATCTGTTATCCCAAAGAAAAGCTACTGTAACCTTATGAGAAAACACAGCACTCCTAGATACAGTTTTCTGCCAAACTAAAGTGCACTTACTGTTTGCCTTAGATAAAGGAGCAATAATCTCCTCATTGGGGTTCATGCTTTTAAACTGCAGAGTAAAAGTCCCTGGAAGTATAAACACAGTAGGATTTCTGGGGCTATTATGTAAGCTTGCTCTCACCCCTGATTATACATGACACGCTGGGAAATATCAAATTAAATGAGCTTGTCCAATAAGATTGTAACATAAATAAAGAGCTCTATTATTACTTTGTGCTGTTGTGGCTAATAAAAGCCACCCCCCTCGAAAAAATACACAGTACAGAGAACATGATGTTCTTCATCCCAGAGTGGCTAAAGGTTTTACTGTGAGGCCTCCCAAGGTGCCAGCAGGATGAGACACTGATTTACACTTCATGTTGACAGTGACACCTCAAAAATCCTTTCCTTATATGTTTTGTGGCCTGAATCAGAGCGGAGGAAAGTGACTAAAGTACTGTACAATTTCATTATTTTCAGTTACTTTAAACTTCTATTGCACTACATTTCAGAGGCAAATGTTCTTTGCTGATTTGGATGGTTAATACAAAATATAATAAACAACATATGTAAAACAGAAACATCTGACAAGAAACAGTAATTATAACAAATCAAAATGATTAAATAACAAAATAATAAATAATAATTACAGCCAAAGAAATTTTTCAATGAATATGAAAATTTTGAGCATTAAACACTTAATTTCATGCATTCTGGTGATTTTTTTTTGCACCAATTTATGGTGGAAATGTTTTTATTTATCTAACGAGAAATACAAAATTCAGGTGTATACAGCAGTAAGGCTCTCAGACATTCTGTGTTCCTTTCAGATATGTTTCTCCTGTAGACCAGCTTTTCCCATGTAATATCATTCCTGCTGAGTCAGCCCACATGCAGGCATGATTAGGGCGTACTCACACTAGGCCTGGTTGCCTTGTACCGTGCCCGAGCACGGAACTCGGACAACTCGCACAGCACGGAGCGATCACACTGGTCAAACAAACTGGACTTTGGGGGTTAATTGTGCTCAGACACGGTACAGATCGCCAAGTGTGAGTGTGCCTTTAGTCTTCCCTTCTCTTTGTCTCTTTGTATGGGGAAGTAACCTCTTTAAAGTAGTGATGACAAGTTAGACTCTTTTGACAGACTCGAATTTATAGATCTCGTTCATTAAGATGAACTAATCTTTTTTTGAGTTATTTCGTTCATTTGAACTAGGCTGGTTATTGTGGCACTGCAGCCCTCTAGTGGGCGATTAAAAAACAGCGCCGTTCTCAAACACGGAAGGCTGTCTGGCTTGCCTTAATTAACAAAGTATAATGCACAAATTCATCTCTTGATCATTCTCTATCATCATTATATACACCCCCTTGGGCCCACAACCAAATTCAAACCATGTAAAAACCACAGAAATATGTTGTCTATATGCAATCCACTACTCAGGAAAGATTGTGACAATGGAAGGATTTGGCCGGAGTATACAACCAGATCTGCCTCTCATTCTCCGGCGCTGGCAGTAACTCAGACGGCCGAATGAACAAAAGACTGAGGAGGACCCATGTGAGAGGTGAACAAGTAGTTCATTTCTGCTCCACAGTAGCTGAGCTGTCACGTGACAAATGAACGACTCAAACCTTGAGACCCACAGTTGCTATGAGTCGTGAACTAATCAGTTCTGTTTCCTGTGCTGCCTGCTTACCACAGCCCTGTAGCCAGCTGTCACGTGACAAATGAACGAACAGACAGTTGAGAGTCGTGAACTAATCAATTCTGTTTCCTGTGCTGATGATGCCCATGCAACTGCTGTGTAACGAGTGAACGTAATAGTCCAAGGCTATTCACGCATGCGTGAAAATGAACGAATTACTCACTGAGACTACCCGTTCAAAGGGAAAAGCGGATTCAAGCAGTATATACCCTGCAAGCCAGGAAAGTATGGGTTAAAGCTCTGGGTGACATGCGACATAATTACCAGCTATGCGTGGCGAATGCATTTATACACAGGCAAGCCCGCCGGCTGCGCACCAGAGAAGAACCAGGGAAGGAGGGTTGTCATGGAAATGACTGAAGGTATGGAGGGGAGCACGTCACATGTGACAACTTCTTATCCACTGGCGAAGAATCTTCTGAAGAAGATTGCGATGGTTGGAACCATCAGGAAAAACAAACAAGATCTACCACCGATCATCATCCAGACTAAACAACGACAGCCAAACTCATCCGTGTTTGCTTTCCGAAAAACAACTGTGTCCTACGTACTGAACACCAAACACAGGGAGCCAAAGGTGTCTGAGGGTGAGCAACACAAATCATTGATCATAGAAGACTACAAGCTCTGCTAGGGAGCTGTCGACAACCTGAATAAGGTATGTACTAATATGCATAAATTATGCACATAATTTTTTACTTTATTTTTGTGCTTGTCTGAAATATAGGCGACGATTTAAATTATAAAAGCATTTAATAAGTTATTATGTATTATTTCTTGCATGCAACTTGGGTTAAAGGGGCATGGATTTTCCAGCGGCCACTAGCTGTGCAGTTCTAAGCTTGCAACCAGGTGTGTGCTCGTACGCATGCTCGCTTGAACTCATACTTTTCATACAAAAATACCACAATAAACGCAGGAACACCTGCATACCGGTTGTGGCTTTTCACTCAGACATGTCCAGGCTCTGTTACTTCAACATTCCCATCTCAGAGGCAGCTCAACACCGGTCGTACCTTTCATTCAGCGCAGCCAGCCGCATATCGGCACAATACTACCGAAAAAAGGGTGACAGCGGCTGTAGACAGACAGGGAGAACAGACAGAGCTGGGGACTCAGGTAAACTCCCACTGCAAAGTTACAAAAATAGTTTTATCAACTGCAGGTTCAACTAATCCATGCTCGTTACATGAAAACATTGCATCTTACTATCTGTGAATCTGTCACTGGAGGCTCAGCAATGTGAGCACAGCTACATGTATTGGATCATAATGAAACGGTTAGTGAGCTGGAATGGATATTATAACGAGATTGAGTCACACTTTATAACAGTTAGACCACAGTAACTTTACTGTAACTAGTGATAGTAGATGGCTCTTCCTCTGTGTTGTTGTGACCGTTTTGTTGTGTCATGTGGGTCAAGTTAGTTACAGCGACTGAGAGGTGGAGAAGCTGTCTATCTGAGTATTGGTAACATCACAATAAACATAACATTACAAAGCAAACTGCAGCAGGTCCGAGCTACTGTAGCGTTAGCTGGCTGCTCCTGGCTGATGTTAAACAAATCGCTCCACATTTGCTTTTTACCGTTACATCCTTTCTTGCAGCCTAAATCAACAGTGGTACACAGGATAGTAACATGGGTCGCGTTAGCTGGTGAAGTAATGTGGACAGTGATATAACTTTGCACCGGATAATATTAGTAACTGCTCAGCGTTAGCCGACGAGCTAACGTGACTTTGTCTGTGTTTCTCCAGCTTTACAAATGCTCACTTTGTTTTTACACGACATCATCTGAACCTGTTTGGTCTGATGGGCTTCAGCACAAAAGCCTTTATTGTTTTTTTTGTATCCTTACGTGGAGCCTTTGTTTTACTGTGAGCCGGTTGTTTTGTGGGGTTAGTGGACTGCATGTCGTTAGCTGACATGTTGTCGCTGTAGTACCAGAGGCTCAGGAGCACGCACAGGGCTGAATCCGACCCGGAGACCTCACATTAAAAGCAGAATAGTTGCTGATGCAAGCAACTGAGAAAACAGGCGTGTGCTTCATTTCTAAGTAAACTTACAACCCATACAACTTATAGATTTTGTTTGACTAGGATGAATATATGTGTCATTTATTCATTTTTCTTTTTCTTTCTGTCATTTTTTCTTGCAGGTTGTCAGTACCTACAGCTTCCAAAGAACACTTCGGTGGCCAATGGCACTGTTCCACAATGTTCTGGATGTGTCTGCATACAATGCCTTTGTCTTGTGGGCCGCATCACTCTCTCACTCACACACACCCCTGAATTTTTATTTTTTTTTGCTTAAATTCTGTTCTGAAGTCTTTATTCTGAACTTAAAAATAAATTGTGTTCTGTTCAAAGTGGTATTTTTGCTTTATTTCTACAGCAAACTTTGATAGGTAGTAATGATCAGAAGATAACAACTTTGAATAGTTATAAAAGCAATATACATTATCATTTAGCAGGTGAGGTTGGATACAGGTGGGATTTAATCATACGGTACAAAAAATAAAAATGCATAAAATCACTGTTGCTGCTATTTATAGGCATAGCAGGCTTTAAACTCCTGATGTAAAAACAATCCACTTGGCATTTAATATACCAAAAATAATTAATATTTAGTTTACATACATACAAAAAAACAGTGGCATCATGTAAACAAACTGGCATTAAAGGGGTGCAAATTATGTAAAATAATGAATATTTGGTTGGTCAAAAGATTTAAGTCATTGAAAGTAGAAAATAATATTAATGTTTAATGTTTTTACGACAGTCTTTTCACATGGACATTTTTGTCCGCTTATAAGTTACACAAATATTACCAAGGCACAAGGGTTAAGTATGTATGCGCTAGCTTAAGTATATATGCGTAATGTGTTGACAGCAAAACAAGTGAAGATTTATTACACATTACATTGGCATTTACTGATTTAGCTGAAGCTTTTACTTGATCAGCTCCCAGTCCGCGATTGGCAGATTCTCCTCCATCACTACGGTGGGCTGTCAGAGGAGTCAAAGTTGCTCTTTCTAGAACAGAATATGCAGTATTTCCCTCTTCTCAGAGTTAACAAACTCAGCAGCCGCTTCTGTGGAGCTGAGAGGCTGACAGACAGCACGACCTGTTAATATCGTTAGGTCTCCATATAAGGGTACACAGCACATTCATCTGAAAATATAAAGACACCAAACAACATTGATAATTAACAGATAATAAATAATCACCTACTTATCAAACGGGCAAAAACTTTCCTCTTTCATGTACATTTAGTGATTTGGCAGTAACTTTTATCCCCCCCAAAATTAAAACAATGTTCTCATGCCCCCATAATCCCCAGACCTGCTGCAATGACAGAAGCAGTGAGTGGGTGTTGATCCCTGGTGTCTCACGCTAAAGGCAGGAGCATTAACCACTGTACTGCTGACTCCACCCTCCAAACTCTTGAACCTATATTCATAGTTTAATTCGCACATATATAATAATAATAATAATAGTAATAATAATCCTTATTTGTAGAGCACTTTTCAAAAACAAGTTACAAAGTGCTTTAACAAGTGTAAAGAATAATACAAACAAAAAAACAAAACAAGATAAGAGCATGAAAAATTAATATAAAATTAGTAAAATACAATAAAATAAAAGGGATAAAATAAAGTCAAATAAGATCGGGAAAGGCTCTCCTATAAAAGTATGTTTTAAGAAGGGACTTAAAAGAGTTCACTGACTCAGCCGACCTTATTTCCTCGGGCAGGCTGTTCCAGAGCCTCGGGGCCCTGACAGCAAACGCTCTGTCCCCTTTAGTTTTCAGTCGAGACTCTGGAACAGACAACAGACCTCTGCCTGAGGATCTCAAGGGACGTGCTGGTGCGTATGGGACTAAAAGTTCTGACGGGCAAGTATATGTGTGTCATTGTGTGTCATCAGCATAAATATGAAAAGAAATGCCATGTTTATGGATAATATGTCCAAGGGGAAGCAGATACAAGGAAAACAAAATGGGTCCTAAGACCGACCCCTGAGGCACACCATATTTAACTGGACAGAATGAGGAGACATAGTTGTTTACAGACACACAAAATTTCCTATTTGACAGGTAGGATGAAAACCATTCTAGGGCAGTACCAGAGATCCCCACCCAGTGCCTCAGTCTGTCTAACATGATGTTGTGATCAATGGTGTCAAAAGCAGCGCTAAGGTCCAGGAGTACAAGGACTGAGCACATACCTTCATCAGCAGACATTAAAAGGTCATTGGTGACTTTAAGCAGGGCAGTCTCGGTGCTGTGGTACTTCCTAAAACCAGACTGAAACTTTTCAAATAATTTGTTATTTTCCAGTACAGTGAGCAGCTGTTTGGACACAATTCTTTCTAGAATCTGTGCAATAAAAGGCAGTTTTGAAATTGGTCTAAAATTATGTGGGAGGGAGGGATCCAAACCAGGTTTCTTTAAAAGTGGGTTCACGCAAGCCGTTTTAAAATAATCAGGGACACAACCAGTAGATAGGGAGCTGTTGAAAACAGAGATCAAATGGGGCCCAACAGAATCTATTACTTTCAGTAAAAATTTTGTAGGTATTATATCAAGTGGGCCGGAGGACACTCTCATTTGTGTTACTGTTTTTAAAAGCTCAGACAAGTCGATGGGATAAAACTGGTTAAAACTCTCTTGTTGCTGGTGAGGAACCTCTGAGTAAGAGGCCACGGGGGTAATAGAGGCTCTGATTGACACCACCTTATTGGTAAAATAAGATAAAAACAATTCACATTCATCATTACTTCCAGCTGAGGCACAAGGAGGGGTTGGGTTTACCAGCTCAGTTTGCGCATATATGCATACTTAACCTCGCACATACATACTAACCTTGCGCATACGTAAATACTCACCTCACAGGTTCATACTTACAAATGACAGTATGTACGTATGTGCAAGTGAATATGTATGTATGTACATGCATGATAGTATGTGTGTATGTGCGAGCATTTATGTATGTATATGCAAGTATTCAATTTTGGCCTAGGCGGCTTCTCATAATGTCCAGCAGATTCCAACTAAACACACACATACTCCATTAAACACTTCAGGCCCTTACACACAAATGCAAATAAGGGAAAATATAACTTCTTGCTCATTCTAGCGTGACACCTGATTTTTATGACTCACTGTATCTCAAACACCACGAGCTTCAGCAGGACATCAGTGATCACAATGACATTAAACAATGAGATTAAACAAAAAGAAATAAAACATATTTATGATGTGTAAAATGTGATTTTTAAGAAAATATAAGGGGTCACTAATTTCGTTCATTCTACCACTTTTTGTTTTGTTTTTTTTTACATTTTTGCTGAACTGCACTGTAAATGTGTCCTATGGTTAATCAGAACCATGCCCCTCATACAAGGCATACCTGATGAAGGGGGGGGGGGGGGATCAACCCAAATTGCCATTATTTGCAGATGATATATTACTATTCCTGGAAAACCCTGCTACCTCCGTCCCTGCCCTCCTACATAACCTAGACAAATATAGTGCCGTGTCGGGAAACAAGGTCAGCACGTAAAAATCGGAGGCCATGATGCTAAATGGGAATTGGCCCAACTAGATGACTTTAATTTCTTTTAGAAGACTCAAACATGGATTTAGATAGCTGGAGGTGGTCCTTACACCAAAGACAACAGAACTACTTCCCTCAAATTATGACATTATTATTAAGACATTGATAGGGATCTAAATAGATGGGATGTGCTTCCTTTGTCACTATTCAGTAGGATCGAGGCAGCGAGGATGAATGTCGTGCTGAGGCTCCTCTTTCTGTTTCAGTCCCTACCTATCCTAGTACCACAATCCACATTTAAACAACTAGAAATGCTAATATCAAAATCTATCTGGCAAAACAGAAGACCAAGAATAAGGCAGAAATTATTAATGACAACAAAAGAGAAAGGTGGTCTGAGTTTGCCTAATCTAAGATTCTACTACTGGGCAGCACAGCTCAGAGCAACGGTGGCGTGGATGGTTGCGGCAACTGGATGGGAGCCTATTGAACAAAACTCCCTAGCGGGAGTACCACTATCAACTCTTCCATTTCTTAGCCATCACTCCCGGTAAAAAATTAAAATCAGTAATATATGGATAAAACTAGGGCTGTCCCCGACCAAGGATACATAGTCGAATCAGAATTGTCAAGTCCTGCCTATAGTCAAATCATGTGTTTTTGTGCACGGCAATTGTGAGCTGGGGGGGTTACATGTGGTAAGCTCCGCTTTATTCTTGAGAAGATGCAGAGCTGCCGCCTCTATTCATTCAACGTATGCTGTAAATTTCCAGCTAAATCAAGGCTTTTTGAAGACCTTTTTCTCTCTCTTGCCTGTCATTCACCGGTCTTGTGTGAGTTTTGCATGCTGCCGACAACTGCACGCACGTCGCGCTTCCTCGTGGGTCTATTTCAAGTAGCCGGCTATTTAAAAACTATTTATTTACGCACTTTAAAAACATTTATTGAAAGTTTTATTCTTTCTACATGTTTATTTACAGCATTAAACGTTGAAATGTGTATTGTAATAGGCTGTATATTAACTTATTGGGAGAAAACTAGTAGTTCTATGTAAAATCAGACGTTGAGCACCCCCATATCGCTAAAATGGCATGATCCTTGTTTCACTGCGAAGCTTCGACAGTGAGATTGACAGTCGAAGCAGCCTGGGAAGGTGCATGCTCTAGATGTCATAAATACGGTGGCCCTGAGAGGCCAACTCAAGAGCTACTTAAGAAAAAACATTCAAATTCATCACAACACAACACAACACATTTAGACAACACATTAAGACAATACAACACATTAAGACAACACAACGGAAGTGTTTCCAGGGGACCCTTTTAAGTGATGCACACAGCATGGTGTTTTGGTTGAACCTGTAACCTGAAGTACATAATGCCTTTAAATGACACACTCCGGGACAATAGGGGGCGGTGTGAACCTAAACAAGGTGGTTGGATCCGGCATAAAACCCAGAGAAGAAGAATAATCTTGTTTTGGTTGTGCTCCCATGGTTTTGCAGCGGCAGTTCAGGACTTTATGCCAGTTAATATATAATTTAAAAGTTAATACTATAAAACATGTATTTATGGGTTAATTGTCATTTTCAATAATTAAACATATATTTAATTCTAAGTATTTAAAAGTTGTAGCCTGATATGCGGGAGTTATAATCTGTCAATCCAGAATAGGCCTAACATTACAGGTCATACACTGCAGGGTAAAGGGGAATCATTTATCTGCTATCTGTTAAAATAAAATGTGATACCTGGTCTTTCATGTGTTTGTTTCCCTGTTTATACTTTATCCGTTCCCTTATAAATGC